ATAAAAACTGTCAGATCCAAATAGAAATGGACGAGGAGAAAATAAAAAATATGTGATTGCAACCCAGCTCAATAACTGGATATGAATTTCTAAATTAATACTCCAGTATGTCTCCACCCCACCTCCACCCCCCTTTTCCAACATAAACTGGTTCCCAAAGAATCATAGAATTGTCCAGGGTGGAAGGGACCTTTCAGATCATTGAGTCCAACCATCAACCTCACTCTGATAAAACCCATCACTAACCCATGTCTCTAAGCACTATGGCAACCCGGCTTTTAAATCCCTCCAGGGATGGGGCCTCAACCCCTTCCCTGGGCAGCCCAGTCCAATGCCTAATAACCTTATCTGCTACAGGCTTGTTTTTCTCCAACAAAATTTCCAATGATGTGCTTCCCATGGAAAGAACCTTAGTGAAGTGCTATTAAACATGTGTCCTCTTCCTCACCCGTTTAGCTCAGCGCAAAGGAAACAACGGAGTGATGAAATATTTCCCAGTATTGTGACACTTTGAAGAGGAGTCTGCTTACATTTAGCACATAGTTTCAGGTTGGAAACTATCCTTCTCCCCATTCCTTATTTTGCAACACCAAGTCACCTTAATAAAGCAGAAAATGGGCAAAATCCAGGATATTCTCCTGAGCGTTGTAGGACAGTTGTTACACAAAGTGGAGCAATGACTCCAACAAGCGCATTCTGGAGTCTGCTTACATTTAGTACATAGTTTCAGGTTGGAAACTATCCTTCTCGAGTCTGCTTACATTTAGCACATAGTTTCAGGTTGGAAACTATCCTTCTCCCCATTCCTTATTTTGCAACACCAAGTCACCTTAATAAAGCAGAAAATGGGCAAAATCCAGGATATTCTCCTGAGCGTTGTAGGACAGTTGTTACACAAAGTGGAGCAATGACTCCAACAAGCGCTATTGCTGCAGGACTACAGTTCACCATCACAGCTCCGGGGTGCCACTTCTTTCATTTTTCTCTTATGTTTGTATTAGATTATTCAGCTCCCAGGGGCTTTCACAATCCCTCACGAGTGTAAATTATTCCAAAAGTTAGCTTTGTTTTCCAGGCAGGAATTATGTCTGCATGTACAGAAGCCTGCAGCCAAGCGCAGGGACTCAGCTGTTTGATGGCAACAACAAAACCAGCAAATTCCATCGAGTAGAAAAATCCAGGATTGGGGTGAAAGAGCCAGTCTTGCCTTGAATAGGAGGGTGGTAGGTGACAGCCTGAAGCGGGAGGCGAATGGAAAACCATGAAAAAGAACAGCACAACACTGTTACCTGCTTTCAAAGCCAGGTTTTGGGGTGCAGACAGGACCTCAGCGTTGAACACTTCAACAGAGAGTCCGTTGGAAGAGGTACGGCCTTGTGAAATCCAAAAAGCATAATCGGATGCTGTGGTTTGAAACCAAAACCTTTGGGTTTCCAGATAATCCCATCTGGACTGCCCTGTGGTACACACACAGCTTCACACAGAGGTGGTACCAGATCAGTAAAGGAAGTTTGGCAACTGTCTCATCCGAGGCACCGGAGTCAGGGGATTAATTCTGCTGCTGTTATCGCCATCCGTACGACACAACAGTCTTCTGCAAAACTGGAACCGTCCCCCTTGGAGTCCCCTAACAGCAGGTATCACATATGAAGTGTTCTGGGAGTCTGAAATATTACCGAGTGCAAAAAAAAATCAAGAGGATGGTGGAGGAAAAAAAAATATCAATTTTTCCAACAACTTAAGCTTTGGTATTTTTTCATTCTGCATGGAAGACAAAAAAATAGGTAGGGGGAAAAAAAAAAGATGACCCCAACACACACAAACCAAATGATATCTTCTGGGTATTTTCCCCAAATGGATTGTATCAGTTAGATGGCTGGCTGGATCCAGCCAGGATCTCTTTGAAAACGAGGAGAGTCTTGGCATCTGTCTGCTCCTGGGCAGCTCTCAAGTGCTTTGTGTTTCAGCATTTCTTTGACAATGCTGCTTCAACCCAAAATATTCCGGTCTGGCCAATGTATTTAGATGGAAGATGAGCTTACACTCCACACTATTAGCAACGTTGGCACCTTTCCTACACTTCAATTTTAGTAACAAGCTGGAGCTCCTGCAACAATATGCAAGGAGAGGTTTCTTTCCTGAGTGGTCTCTTCAAAACATATCCAGCCATTTATTTAAGTTAAAACCACAGCCAAAACTTGGCAAGAGCAAGGCTGGAAAGAAATATAGTTGACACACATGACTATCTGTGTCCCCCCATGGCTAGAAGAGCCGACACACCTGAGAGTGATGGGAGATAGCTTTGAAATTAAGGTGTGCTATTAACTTTTCCCAATTCAATTCTCACTTCTTGTAGGCTCAAATCCTACCTTCTGATCCAGTTCTGGTACAGCTCCATGTATATACACGCATCCCTGGAACACCAGCTGTGGCTCTGCTCCTCCACATTTGGCATCAGACTGTGATCATGTAGAGACCATCTACCTTCTCAGACTCTGGAATCGGAGAATCATTGCAAAGCTCGGCATCCCAAAACAGAACCCAAGCTTGTCAGTAAGCCCATTTCAAGAGAAATGGGGGGATCTGATTGACACTTACAAATACTTAAGGGGAAGGTGTCAAGAGGAAGAGGCCAGTCTTTTTTCAGTGGTGCCCAGGGACAGGACAAGAGGGAACGGGCACAAACTAGAACATCAGAAGTTCCATCTAAACATGAGGAGGAGCTTCCTTCCTGTGAGGGTGGCAGAGCCCTGGAAGAGGCTGCCCAGAGAGGTGGTGGAGTCTCCTTCTCTGGAGACATTCAGACCCACCTGGACACGTTCCTGTGCAACCTGCTCTGGGTGGACCTGCTTTGGCAGGGGGTTGGACTAGATGATCTCCAGAGGTCCCTTCCAACCCCATGTGATTCTGTGATTAACAGATAAAATATTTGGCTCCTGCAGATGAATATAGAATCATAGAATTGTCTAGTTTGGAAGGGACCTTTAAGATCATCTAGTCCAAACTTCAACCTCACTCTGATAAAAAACATCACTAACCCATGTCTCTAAGCACTATGGCAACCTGTTTTTTGTTTGCAATGACACTGATCTCATACTGACTGCAGCAAAAGCATCAACCTTCATTGCACAGGATTAGAGGAAAATCCATGTAACTGAACAGGGCCATCAAGAAATAAGACTGCTTTTACATTTCTAACTGTGCACTAAGTTACTTGCTTGTACTTTAATCTGTGCAAATCATAGAATTGTCTAGGTTGGAAGGGACCTTGAAGATCATCTAGTCCAACCATCAACCTCACTCTGATAAAACCCATCACTAACCCATGTCTCTAAGCACTATGGCAACCCGGCTTTTAAATCCCTCCAGGGATGGGGCCTCAACCCCTTCCCTGGGCAGCCCAGTCCAAGGCTTAAGAACCCTTTCCATGGAAACATTTGTCCCAATCTCCAACCTGAACCTCCCCTGGCGCAACTGGAGGCCATTTCCTCTTGTCCCATCACCTGGGACTTGGGAGAAGAGACCGACCCCCCCTGGCTACACCCTCCTTTCAGGGAGTTGGAGAGAGCCAGAAGGTCTCCCCTCAGCCTCCTTTTCTCCAGGCTCAACACCCCCAGCTCCCTCAGCCTCTCCTCACAAGACTTCTTCTCCAGACCCCTCACCAGCTCTGTTGCCCTTCTCTGGACCCACTCCAGCCCCTCCATGGCTTTTTTGTGGTGAGGGGCCCAAACTGGACACAGCCCTCGAGGTGGGGCCTCCCCAGTGCCCAGTACAATACAGTGAGCATAATGCTCAGGTATGGATCATATTTCCCTGCCTTACGACTGGCACTGGAATCACCAGAGGGGTTATTCTGCACGCTCCTCTGATGTGAAGGAGGTCTCTATGAATGGGAAAGTGCTTCCTGCCCACCATGACGCTGCTTTGGAATAGTCAAGGAAAGCTGCTGCGTTACGCTACTGCCTGCTCATCAGGAGGCTACAGAAACTACCAAAATAGACCATAGATTTCTTAGCCAGCAATTCTGAAAGTCAATTGAGTTTTTAAAGCCACAAAAAGCTATAGAAAAAAAACCAAACAACTGAGTTAGCATAAAAACTCAGTATTAGTTTGATACATAATGGAAGGCTTAACTTTATAGCTTGTTACAAATGAAGGTGTCTCTCTCTGGTCTGCTGTTTCCCAACGTGATGCCTTGCAGAAGTAGCAGCAGTGACCCTGCCAGCACGTCAGGCTAACTTGGAGGGAAATACCATGGAAGGCTTTGATCCTGCCAACATAAGAAAGTACCTTCAACTTCTTGGAGGAGAAACAAGGGAGGAGAAGCGCTCTCGGGCGCAGAAGCACTCGGAGCAGATAGATCTCGGAATTCCAGGCACAGAAGGCCACTAAACAAACACTCCTCTGCGAGGCAAACGTATCCTTCAGTTTGGGTGACTCTCTCAAGATGTACCCAAATCCTGTAACACACAACTCCAGCTGTATTCCCTGCAGGCTGTGGAAGCACACTGACGTTCTCCTTGAAGAGCGCTCAAAGAAAATTACTTAGAATGCATTTTTTATTATATTGTTATTAAAGAACTCACATAGCTTGTTTGTTTTTTTAAAAATCTCACTTTCCAATCTTATGGAGAAACACTTTAAAAATCTTACGTAGCTTGTTTGGTTTTTTTAAACATCTCACTTTCCAATCTTATGGAGAAACACTTCTGGAACAAGCTTACCTCAGTCTGTTCCACTGGTTCCTGATATTCTTTGTTTCAGCAAGTAGGGCTAAATGAGCTCTAGATTAAAGGTAGCACACGCGCAGTCTCAGCTTTTATAAAGTGGCTTTGTATTGACTAATTACACTTAATCTACAATTTCATACACCATCCCATCCCACCCCACCCCCCCAAAAAAAAGGCTTCTGGATTATTTAGGTTTAACTGCTTGACAACTGGCATCAGCTACAACAAAGTTTATCAATAACATAGTTATCAATTAACACCGCACAAGCGTTTAAAAAAAAATGGAAGTTTATTCATCTTTCAATGGCTCAAATAGCAAATAAAAGGACAGGATAAGGCATCAGCCAAGACAAGTTTCAAGTGTCCAGTGGCTTCATAACACCTCAGTTCCCAGTATACAGGTTCCAAAGCAAAGTCACAATGTTAGTGGTTAGACTCCCTGGCTAAATAGACCCAAAATGAGTACACAGTAAGATGAAGACCGGCTTATTTGCCATAGTTACATAAGTAACTTTAATTCTGCACTTGGCAGTCTACTAAATGCACATACAAAATTCCTATTGATAAATATTTAACATGACAAATATAACTTCTAAGACTTGAGTCCCTAAAATGTCTGTTAGCATGGACATTAAATATTTGTTACCTAGTTTGCTTGAGCACATTTTGAACTGTCAGTTATAGGCTTAACACATGTATAAAAAGTCTAACAGTTTGTGGAATTGATCTAGCCTGTCTTACCCCAGGAGTCCAAAAACCCTCAAACACTCTGGTATATTTTTAGTTAAGATGCAGCATACTAACCATGTGCTAGTATATTCCTGCTGTTCTGAAGCAACTGAGGCAGCATGTTTTGTTTGGGGCTTTTGGATGCACACGGTAAGTGTTCCTGTATTGTAAAGCATGTTTGATTGTTTGATATCAACATTAACTAGAAAAAAAAAGTAGCTACAATGTTCCCCCGTTTGAAAAATCAACATGGACTAGACGGAACGGTACAAAACCTCGCGAAGAGCTTCAGCGTAACACACCACCTTCCCCTAGCTGAGGATTAGGAACACAGAAGAAATGAACCCATGACACCAGAATTTCCCAGACAACATCTGAACTCAAACCACATTAGCACTACTGAATCAGCTCCACTCCACCCAACTCCAAGGAGTTAAAACCCAAGGAACATCTAGACAAAAAAAAAATATAATAATAAATCTACTGGCAAAAGGGAAGTTTCAAGGTATCAGCACGTTAAGTTTTAAACAACCATTCCAGGCTTAGATGTGCCATAGGCTTATGATTTCAGTCTTATATGTATTCTGACCTTTTTGTTTTAAGATACCCTCTTGTTTACCGAGTTACAGGTGACAGAATATGCTCTGTGTTATTCCCAATACCGGCGTATGGCACACACTTAAAGAACAGACACTGTGCAGGGACAGTCTCCAGGCTACAGCCTTGAAAATACACCCTTGATTAAGCCACCTGTAATGTTTTAGTTTTTAAAATTAAGGCATATTCAAATGTTTCAATGTAAAAGATTACATCGCTCTCCCAGGTAACGCAGAACCACGTGTGATTTTCCCCCCAACATCTCTTGTTCGCATATACATTATTATTCTGTTCTAATTTGCATAACTCCATGGCAAAACAAACCGCATACCGCGTGGTTAGCTATCATGGTCACAATTGTCATTTTCAAGGCAACAAAAGACAAGATGAATTGACAGTTACCAGTGATAAAAAAAGTCTGCTTTACAAGAACCCAAAGTAATACTTCCCCTTCTCTGGTCACCATTAAAGAAAAGAACTGCCTATGAAACACTACATTCAGAAGAAATGTGAGAAGGTAGGCAATTATGAAATGGACTGAACTTTGCTTCTCTTGAAGCCACATCATTATTATTATTATTTTTTTTTTCAGTGAATTTGACTTTCAGTGCAGCTCCAATTCATGCTTTTAGTGATACATTACTATTTCCAACGTTAGAGTAATTTCAGTCACTTGAGCCTTCAATGGCATGCTTATAAATTATGGTTTTTATTAGTATGGTCAGGGTAGGAAAGGAATTCAGGGTTAAGATTATAAAATGCAACATCTTTCTCTGATCCTCTTAGCTAGGCTTTTTCTTTTCTTCTTCCCGTTCTTTTCTTTGCTGTCTTCCATTTTTCTGGCTCTAATTTCTCTCATTAAATCGAAAAACACCTAAAAGAAAGATGTAATAACGTAAATGCAAAACCAGTCAGAGACATACGAGTTAATTCAAGCTTTCACTGAGAGCCATTTCAGTTGGTTAGAATAAAGTCAATTACATGCAACCAGTTTGAGCAAAGAAACCCTCAAACAAATCTTTCACTGGTTTTGAAGGCCAAGTTGATACGATGAGATCCTGCATCCTTGTGATATTTGCTTATGAATCCTGCCAGACAACTTTCCACAAGGATTAAAACAAGAGCCTCATCACTGGCCAAGATTTTTTTTTTTACCATATTATCTACATCTTAGTGAGGGGACTTGAGGAAATCAGTTTATGTTTCGAGTCTTTTCAGTGATGGGCTGTAAAGGTTGAAAAAAAGTGCAACATCCAATTCTAGAAACTCATGAAAGGAGCTGTAGCACACGCTGAACATCTCATGGTCAGTATGTCCCATGCTGAGTTATAGGGGGTGCAGGGGGGAGCACAGCAATCAGCATTTCCTTTAAAGCAAAGTTATCAGACCAGCTAATTTCAGGTGCCACATTACCATCTCAAAGTACATATGAACCTCATTCTCATCAAGTGGTTTAGTAGGAAACAAAAATGCCAAAGGGTGAGATAACACCAATGACTTATTTAAGAGAGATCCTACTGTCGGTTAAGACTTTATGATTGGACTGCTTCAAGCTACTTTATTTATTTGAAAAGCATATCTTGACTTGCAGGAAACTACAGCAAATAATTTCATCATTATAATTTGATTGTAGCAAATCAGTTGAGCATTTCTAATACTTCTCTCTCTCTATATGAACCTCATTTTCATCAAGTGGTTCAGTAGAAAACAAAAATGACAAAGGGTGAGATAACACCAGTGACTTGTTTAAGAGAGATCCTACTCTCAAGACTTTATGATTGGACTACTTCAAGCTACTTTATTAATTTGAAAAGCAGATCTTGACTTGCAGGAAGCTACAGCAAGTAATCATTGAATCACTATAATTTGATTGTAGCAAACCAGTTGAGCATTTCTAATACTTCTCTCTCTCAGGGGATGTTCTCTAGATCGTACTTAAATCTGTGCAAATTGTATGGTGCAACTCCCAACTTGTTGAAGCAGTGATACTACAGTATTTAGCTGCCTGAGGTAGGTAACCTTTGGAGAAGATGCTTGGTGGGTCACTTGATAGAAGCCAATTGCATTTTCCCCAACTGAGCATACCCGCTACTCCGGAATTCAGAGGAGCCAGACTTCTCACAGAGAACAGTAACTGAAGTTCATGTAGCAAACCTCATACTTCAGATGCTCTAAGTAGCTAAGAATACCTGGTATTTACTAGTGCCAACAAAGCCTCATTTCTGGACTATCAAACCTTCATTCTATATGCTACTTGCTAATCTGGATCCAAACGCCAGCAGCTCCAGCAAAAGAGACGTGGAGGTGTGTAGTAGCCTGGCATGTGCAAGCAACAGCTCTGCATTAGAGAGCTATTAAAATACATATACACACACACACACACTTTTTTCCCCCCAGCTGCTAAAGGATGGTTCAGTAGATTCTGAAGAGCTGGAAACATACTTGCTAATCTGGATCCAAACGCCAGCAGCTCCAGCAAAAGAGACGTGGAGGCGTGTAGTAGCCTGGCATGTGCAAGCAACAGCTCTGCATTAGAGAGCTATTAAAATACATATACACACACACACACACTTTTTTCCCCCCAGCTGCTAAAGGATGGTTCAGTAGATTCTGAAGAGCTGGAAACATGACTGTAACAGGTAGATGTTAACTGCAATCATGCGCCAAAACTAAAAGATGTACTAGTTTTTATAATAATAAAAAATAAATAATCAAAGCTGCATTGAACAATAAGAGTTCTGCTGTATTTAATTGACTTAATTTTCTCCACAGAGCAGCATAAAGTTCCTGCTGTAGTACTGAACAATCCATTTCTGCAGGAAGACAACTGACAGGAGACAACAGTTCAGTTTAACACAACAGAACTCACATTATCAGCTGTCAATTGCAGTGTGACAGCTGTACAGGAGGATTTATATTAGAGAATGTTCCAGCGTGTGATCAACTCTGTCAATAGCTCTGAAAGGAAAGGCTGGCAAATTGAACTGAACCACTTATTTCTTTTGCCACATCTGTTACTCTTGCAGCCTACAAGGCTGAGAGCTATTCCAAATTATACATTCTAAGAAGTCCTGTCTTTTAAAGTTATAGCTGAAATAGTTAAAACTAATCAATAATTTATTTTATTGGAGACAAAGATTCTCTGCCTCTTATCTAATGACCTTCTGAATCGGGTTTTATCCCTGAAAACTCTGTTTCAACTCTGTTGAAAGCTTAAAAGGGTTGAGACAATCCTCATGGAAGCACCATGCAGCCAGGCATCTGGTTAGATGAGGGTAGAGAGGGCTCCAATTCCTCCTTTACCTACTTCTGTAAGCTGTTTTATTCTGGCTGAGGATCAGACAGCGTTCCTCACCATTCAGAAGCAGATTGTCTTCTAGTTATAGCAAAGGCAGTAAGAAGTCTAGGCCAAAATAGCTGCCTCAAGAATTTTTTAATGAAATACAGTCTTGTATAATGTCTTGTATAATGACTCCTTACAGTTCAGGATGGGATAAGCTCGTTATGCCTAACGTTTTCACTGTTCTGCATGAAGTCACCTAGTCATGCATTCCTCCTAAGCTAAGGGAGAAAAGTATTTGATTCAAATTTCACAAAAATAATTGCTAAAATAACGAACATACAAAGTATGACCCACAGACAAGAGGTATAAACTAAGAACTGATGGAGAGATTCTTTGTATAAAGAGGCCGGTTATTACCTTGTCAACATTAGCTCGTGTTTTTGCAGAAGTTTCCACATAGTTAACATTCCACTGATCAGCTCTGTTTTTTGCTTCCTCTACAGAAACTTGCCTTTTATCTTCCAAATCTGATTTGTTACCAACTAGCAAAAAAGGAACATTCTCATCTTCTTTTACTCTTAAGATCTGCTCCCTGGAGAGGAAAAAAAAGGAAAAAAATAAAGAGAGGAAAAGAAAATTAAGCTTTGCACAGAGTACTATTCTTAGAACACAAAAAGAAGAACTCAGACTAAATACTCTTCCATCTTCCCATGAAAAGCCACTTATTCATTTTATGACGCTTATGTAACAGTAAAATCTTCAACCTCATTACGACATGATACAGAATGAAGACAAAGGCAGCCAACTAGTCATCCAGGAAGGAAGGAGGTGAGTCAGTAATAAACTAGAAGAGTAGAACGGGATTGTTTTAGGTGAGAATTAATATTAACGAGTCATTCCTTTTACTAAAGGTGTTACTTAAAAGCATTTTCTGTTGTCTTTATATTACTATTTGTGATTGCCATTTTTAAGCTACCCAAACTCAGTTTTACACTTGATTTTTTTTCCCTAATAAAACGTATGTGATATTTTTAAAGCCGATACAATGGTCTACAGCAAACCAAGACAAAAAAAATCTCTTCTTTTCAGGAATCTTTCTGAAGTCAATTATATCCAGTCTCTGCAGAGAGATACAATTCTGCAGAGACTGAATATAATTCACTTACAATGTGTACACATACAAGTTGTACACACATCAGATTTTTAAAGACAGATCCTTTTACCATTTGAACTGCTAGGATGAAGGGTTTAAAGTTGTATGTAAAACTCAGTACTACCAGTAGTTTTGTACATAAGTCTTCAACACTGAAAAAAATCATGAAAAATTCCTTCTAATTAGAAATGCACTAAAAGTACCAGGAAGAGCAGTTTTCCCAGAAGAGGGGTATTTTCTATTTTGTCTCAGAAAGGAGTAAGAAGTTAGTAGTGAAATGTACCCCCTTGACCGTGGAGCAATTTCTCAGAGACTGCCAAAAAGCCCAGAGAAACATAATCCTTTCGCTGGCTGAGGTGAAACCTATTGCCAGATTTAAAGCTGAATGGAGAGAAGCTGAAGAGAATTAATTAACTGATATTCTGGAGGGCCCCTATTTGGTGTAGGGCAGGATCCTCCTGCTGTTATATAAGGCTCTGTAGAGCATGCAGTCTTGTTGAGGAAATCTACTCACAGAGTTTAAACTGCAGTTAGCCCATCTTTTTTTTTTTAAACCAACAAATATTTATTTGAGGCAGCTTGAAGCACCACATTCACCTCTGAGGTGTAATTAAAGCAACATTCCTTTTCTCCCCCACAAATATCAGTGCAAATGTTTTGACAGGGTCTGCAGCCATCCAAAAGTTGTTTGAATAGTCAGTGGATTAGGAAGGGTGGCCAGAAGAAAACTCAGTGCATCACTGCACTTATCTGTGAAATAAGACTTCTGTTAAAAACTAGGAGCTTACAACACTAGTTGTTTAGGCAATGCCAAACAATTTCACTGTATAGAGTTAATCTAACAGTGATGCAGATGACAATATTCTCCTTTGAGCCCTCTCTGAAGACTGATATCGCCTAAACAAGAAATATCTAATTAATGATATTGCCAGCTTGAAATCTAGAATTTAAAAAAAAAAGATAATAAAAAAACATTAGAGCCAGACTAATTCTACTCAAAGCAATACCAATTTTTTTCAAATTCATTTTCAAACTTTCAAAATTTCAGTTTAGTAATTGCAGGTCTGCTTGATATTGAAAAAAAAAGTTACTTGGAGCCATGTCTAGGGAAGGGGTTGAGGCCCCATCCCTGGAGGGATTGAAAAGCCGGGTTGCCATAGTGCTTAGAGACATGGGTTAGTGATGGGTTTTATCAGAGTGAGGTTGATGGTTGGACTGGATGATCTGAAAGGTCCCTTCCAACCTGGACAATTCTATGATTGGTGAGAGCAGTGCCACCACTCCAAACATCCCCCCCTTCCTCCTCCTTCCCTCAGCTTTATAATGGCATTTCAGAGCACACCAGGAACCTCTCTGAGGACACTGAATAGCAGTTAACAGCTCTCCTGTTCCAGCAGAGCAAAATTCCATGGAAACAATCAAACATCCCAAGTTCTTCTGGACATCCAAATTCTTCTTAACACTTTCTTTCCTATCTGCCTCCTAAGTAGCGTTCCCTCAGCCTGCTCAACAACGCCAGAGGTATTTTAACTGTACCTTCAAGAGATACAAGGTACTTCTATTACACAGAGCAGAAACCATGTCATTTTTCTAAGTTACATTTTAGCATTTAGGGGTCTAGAGTTTGAGAGCAACTTGAAGGGCACGATCAGATTCAGATTGGGGAGAGTTTTAATCTCTTCATGTAGCAGTTAACAGCTCTCCTGTTCCAGCAGAGCAAAATTCCATGGAAACAATCAAACATCCCAAGTTCTTCTGGACATCCAAATTCTTCTTAACACTTTCTTTCCTATCTGCCTCCTAAGTAGCGTTCCCTCAGCCTGCTCAACAACGCCAGAGGTATTTTAACTGTACCTTCAAGAGATACAAGGTACTTCTATTACACAGAGCAGAAACCATGTCATTTTTCTAAGTTACATTTTAGCATTTAGGGGTCTAGAGTTTGAGAGCAACTTGAAGGGCACGATCAGATTCAGATTGGGGAGAGTTTTAATCTCTTCATGCAAAGGATTTTTTTTTCCTTTCATTTTTTGCTGTTTGGGCATGTATATTGTCAACTCTCACCTTTGCTGCACAAGTAGGACTTTCTTTAGAGCAGTAGAAGATCACATACTTCGAAGCATTAACAAGGTTTTAAACAGATTTGAATAGGTCATTTTGCATCCTAGAGGAGCTCAATTACACTAAATAGTTCTCCAGGACTGACAATACCTAGCAGTTACCTGCACACCACAGGCCTGCCCCTCCCTCCCTCTCAAAAGATGTGGGGACACACGTATACTGAGACACAAATAAAAAAAAACACCAGAAGAGGAAAAAACTCACTGCCTCCCCTCTACATACCTTTTCTCCTCTCTTAGAGATTATATTAAACACATTCTGATACTTAATGCCAATTAAATTGGACTGTGACAGCATCTCAGAGAAGCCTTATTTCAATGAGATGCATATATTTTATTTTTATATTTGTTTCCTTACACTTATCTTAAAAGTTATCTCCTCTCCTATTTCACTACACTTTGAACTGGAAAAAAAGCTTTCTGTTCTCTTTTGTCCCTTTTTTTAATCTAGCAATAAGTAATTTAAATAGGCTTTCTCTTTCAGCCAAAATTAAACACCTGTAATATACTGCTGCCTGTCTAATAGTCTCTTACCATTATAAGAGTTTTAATACGTTGCGTGCCTGAAAAGCTTCTTAAAAATCCTTATCCTGTTAAGTCTTTATTAAATCAGAAAGATTCAGTTCCAAATTTTGTTTTCACTAAGTTGCTCTGTGTTAAGTAAAATACTGACTTTGATGGGAAGGGTGAATGCTATGCAGAACTTTAGTCCTGTAAACTCAAAAGTTTATACGAGTATCTTACATGGAGAAAAAAAAAAAATCTATTCAGACAAACCTGAAGGGCCAGGTTTACAGCAGGCCTTCACACAAAATGCACGGCTACTACAGAATGTGCCAAGATACTTCTCATCACTGCTGTTTGTAAAATTGTCTTTAAGAGGTAGAATGATTTGTGGTGTTGATACTGTGCATTTCACTCTCCCAGAAAACAACACACATACTTCACTTAAGACTCTGCAGACAGACACCACCAGACAAGGGATTCTTCTGTGCAGTTTCGACTGGAATCTAGTTGTGTCATCTTAATAACTATAAAGTATTCTAGCAAAAAACAGCTGGACACGCTCCAGCTGCCCTTTTGCTCCGGGTGCACAGTTTAAGAGAAACACAACATAACACTCTATAGGGAGCAAAAGCTAGAAGCAGACAGCTCTAGTGGGAGGTGTCCCTGCCCATGGCAGGGGGTTGGACCTCGATGATCTTTAAGGTCCCTTCCAGCTCTAACCACTCCACAATTCTATGAGTATGTGGTATTGTACATATATGACATGCACCCATACTGCCTATGCAATTTTCCACAGATTCATTGCTTTGGAAAACAGTATGCCTACTCACAAATCCCACTGCTTGGCACAAGAGCCAAGCAACACAGACTGAACGAAGGGCAGAAGCCTCCTGAAGGTTGCTATGTGTCTGCTCCGGCGGCGATAGCCTTTCTGGTATTCAGAAACACGGCAGCAAAGATAGCTGAAGTGGCACAGATAGCAAAGGCATGGCCAGGCATCCCTTCAAAACATTGTGTGACTACAGTAAGAGTTGTTATCCAGTCTGCACTATCATAAGGATATTACAAAACAAACAAACAAAAAAAATTCACTTGTAATTATCTCATCATAATTAGAATAATTATCTTGCCTTGTAACTTACCTGAAGTCTGCAGTCGCTGCAAAGGATTCCAGCTCTGTAATAGAGAAGACACAAAGAAAGCCTTCTCCACTTCGGAAGTAGTTGTCTCTAATTGCAGCATAGTCCTCCTGCCCTGCTGTGTCCAATATATCAATTTGAACTTCTTCCCCATCCAGAACCACCTTTTTCCTGTAGCTGTCTGCTTTGGTGGGCTCGTAATCTTCAACAAACTAGAAAAAAAAAATATAATTCATGGTATAAAATCATGTCTGTACAAGGCAAATGCTTCTATTTGCATATAAGGACATAAGAAACATATGGTTACAGTAACTAATAAGTAAACATATGTATTTAGGCTACGTGGAGTACTCAAATGATTCATAGTTAAAAAGCAGGCTCTCCATCAGCCCAAACAGTTTCTAGGTTTTTGCTTTCTCCAGCCATTACAAGGAAATTTTAGAGGTAACTCCAAAACCCTGTCTGTGCACTACCCAAGCCTCTGCTTCTGGTCAAGCACAGCATCTGGCTGGGTTCCATTATGCTATCAGGCAGTCCTGATTTTGAATATATGAAGTATAAATTTTTTAAAGAACACTGAAGCTGTATCTTCTACCTTTTAATCAAGAAGAATGACTTTCACTGAGAAAAAAGTAAGGAAACAAGAAACAGATTTTCTTTCCTCTCTGTAACTGCAGCATAAAAAAACATGGAAAAAACCCTGGTCATCATTTCAGGCACCATGCAACTCACCTAAGTGAAGAAGCTTTGAGCTATAATACCTATAGAAGTTCTAATAGGTCTAGTGAACAATGACAAAACATACTTGTAACATGACAGAGCATCTAATTGCTCAGAAGTCTGAAAAAAGTGAATAAATTTTTTTTTTATTCAACTTAATTGCTGACCTTCATATCCTATACATTTAGACCCTTTCAGAAAATAACTGTACTGCTGAATGCTGAAGTAACACAATGCAGCAGACATCTCCTGAGATAATTGTTAGTGCAGATTCTTACCTCATCATACATAAACTGTAGTGTTAAAGCTGATTTTCCTACACCACCGCTTCCCACCATGATGACTTTGTGCAAAGCCAATGAATTCTGTCCTTTAGGCTTATTTGCTGCCATCTTTGGATTGCAGAAAGTTCACAGGTATAAAGTGAAAAAAATCTAGAAGAAAAAAAAAATATTGCTTCATTAGTTTTCCTTCTCCCACATGCACTGTTTAAAGTGGATTTGTTTTAAATCCCTGCATATTTAACAACATAATTTCAGTTCTGCTATCTTCAGCAAAAGCTGTCTGCTTTTTTCACTGGAAGCCATTCCACAAATTATACCAAGTTCATCTTTTTTGTAGCACGAGCAGAGAAAGTGTTCCCTGTTTGGAAAGGGCACAAGTGAGTTCACAGCATCCAAGAACAATTAAGGGGAAAGATTTACATTTTGGTATGTAGTGTTTTCTTTTAGAGACGAGGCATTTGTCACGAATTCTTGTTAGTTTACTAAGCAAGAATTGAAAAAGGAAGCCACAGTGAGTCAACACCACACAAGAAAACACGAGATATGACAGCTGCCGGGGAAAGCAAACAGACATTTGAAGGAATTTCCAGCTTAAATGGCAAGCGCCAAAACTCAGCAGCAGCAAAGATTAAGAAAAGCAAGCAAATGTGTAACTTAAAAAATAAAACCACTCAGTTTCAGTAAGTCATTTGGGAATTGAAAGAATAATCTATTTTATGCAGAGTGGAAAGATTCAACTTGCCTTCCTAGGCTACAAATGCAGTTATTCAGTATATACGTAGTACATATACAAATGCAGTACATTTGGAAAAGTTGTGTCAGTCCCACAACTGCTTCTTCAAACACAAATCTCTGCATCTCACCAATGTGTTCTCTAACAGTTAATTCAGTCTCAGTGCCACAACTGCTTCTTCAAACACCAATGTGTTCTCTAACAGTTAATTCAGTCTAATGTGGGTGCACTGGTACCAAAAGTAACAGCCCCATTAGCTTTTTTTTTTTTAAAGATCATGTTACAGTTTTAGCAGCTCTCCCACTACTATCTTCTCACACTTTTGTTTCATTCCCTATCTATCCCAACACTAATAGAATGGTATTTGTGTTATATGAAGACACAATATTTTGTCTGCTCGCACAGTTCTTAAGGCATGGGAATGTCACTGCACAGTGATAAAATGTACTCTCCTCCAGAGTTTTAGGGTCAAAACAAGCTCTGGTGTCCAAAAAACACGACACCTACATTACAGAAGATGTAAACACAAGAGACATCTATAGTGGTAACTAGGAACCAAATGCAACTTAGATTTTGTTAATTAGAAAGCTCAAAACGAACACATTCAAATGGCAGCACAGTTTAGTTATATACAGAATATTATATTATAACAATATAACACACCAGATAATAATAGTGTAGTAAAGAGACACCATTACATCATTACTTTTACCCATCGTGATCCTTTGACCATCTCACACTAAAATTACATCCTCCTGCATAATGAATCACCTTTGTGTGCAACTTAAACAATCACAGCATGAGTCATGACAATTTGCTGAAAACTTGTATCAAAATCCCTAGCTGAGGACACGCACTAAGGTTTTGTTGGTAACAGTGAGACAGTTAAGTGTAAAAGCATGCTGACTGAAGCTTCATTAGAGATCACAGAATGACATGGGGTTGGAAGGGCCCTCTGGAGATCATCTAGTCCAACCCCCTGCCAAAGCAGGGCCACCCAGAGCAGGTCCCACAGGAAGGTGTCCAGGTGGGTTTGAATGTCTCCAGAGAAGGAGACTCCACCCCCTCCCTGGGCAGCCTCTGCCAGGGCTCTGCCACCCTCACAGGAAAGACCTTCCTCCTCATGTTTAGGTGGAACTTCTTATACTCAAGTTTGTGCCCGTTCCCTCTTGTCCTGTCCCTGGGCACCACTGAAAAAAGACTGGCCCCATCCTCCTGACACCCACCCTTGACATATTTATAGGTGTTGATCAGATCCCCCCTCAACCTTCTCTTCTCCAGACTAAAAGCCCCAAGTCCTTCAGCCTTTCCTCATCAGAGAGATGCTCCAGGCCCCTCATCATCTTTGTGGTCCCCAATTCCAGAAGGACAGGGAACTGCTGGAGAGGGCACAGCAGAGGACCACAAAGATGATGAGGGGCCTGGAGCATCCTTCCAGCCAGTCCTTCCTGGAATTAAAAAACAAATAAAAAGGTATACTGGTTTTGGCTGGATAGAGTTAATTCTCTTCAGAATAGCTCATATAGTGCCACATTCTGCATCTGTGATGAGAACAGTGAGGATAACACACAGATGTTTTAGGTATTACTGAGCAGTGCTTATAGAGTGTCAAGGCCTCTTCTGGTTCTCAGGCTGCCCTGCCAGCGAGTGGGCCAGGGATGGGCAAGCAGATGGGAAGGACAGGGCTGGGACAGCTGACCAAAGGGATATCCAAAGGGACATCCCATGCCATAGCTTAGCAATAGAAGCTGGCAGGGAAGTTTTCCGGGGATGTCCTTCCTGGGGACTGGCTGGGCATCAGCTAGTGGTGAGCAATTATTTTGTTCAATTTTTGTCACCTGTTTTTCTTGGTTTTTTCTTTTTTTTTTTTTAAAAAAAACTTAAATTAAATTATTTTAAAACTTAAATTTTCTAAACCTTGAATTGTCATTATCTTACCCCAGGAGTTCTCTCACTTTTACCCTTCCAATTTTCTCCCCCATCCCACTGGCAGGAGGGATGTGAGCAAGCAGCTGTGTGGTTCCTTAGCTGCCTACCAAGGTTAACCCACAACTTGTGGAAAAAACTCTCTGGATCACATCAGTAACAGTACCCATTCTGCTGCCCAAGAATTCTGAAAATGGAATTGAAAATTAAGACCCTTAGATAACCTTTCTGGGGAAAACAATTTAAGTGGAATGAGCATGAGTGATTATAGAGATGTAGCAGAGAAATTTAACTAACATTATATTACAAGGTCTTTTAAAAGGAGATGGATGAGAACAAAAACACATCTGTGTTTTGGCCATAGCGGCTTAAAAAGAACCATTACTTTCTTTTTACTCAAGAGGGAGTATAAGAACATGAAAATAGCTTCAAGCTATGTGTACACTTCCAACCTACTATGCTGCATTTTGAACTATTCCACGCTGTTTTGTCTTTGTGCTTTTCTCTTATAAGGAAAAAATGTGTCCTGAAAAGTCATGTTTAGGTTTTTTTAAGCATGCATTTCAGACAAATAATATAAAGAAAATTCCTCTGAATTCCAATAATCAACTGACAACAGCTTGGTTTGACAAGTTTAGATGACAACAGACACTCTCAGAAGCAGAGGAACCGAAGTACCAGTATACCAAGATATGCCCTACACCAGCCCTACTGAGCAACAAACCAGACTATTCTTCTATAAGCCCTTCAATGCTGGAACAAGTCCAAACGAATTCAGCAGGACCTCTGACAGGTGAGTCAATACTACAACCTGGGAAAAAAAATTCAAATACACAATAGTGATGTTTCACACTGTAATATTTGTGTTAAATTAACCTACGGTCTTCAGGTTGATTGAGCAATGTCAAAACTCGTATTTTACTATTAGTTGCAATTCAACAAGTAGTGTCCCAGTGTGACAAAGAGAAGCTGCCGCTCATTTGTGCTTTGTGCAACAGTTGATTCATATTTGAAAAGCCAAAACAGTAACGTCCAACCAATAAGATTCTTATAAATAATCAGGTTAGTGACAATGCTCCTTTTCACTGAAAATTCTTTAACCAGAAAGATTTTAGGGCAGCCAATCATTTTCAGCAGCTGTTTTACCTCAAATCAGGACAGAAGCCTGGATAACACCCTTTCGAAGAATCGTAAGAGATTGAGTCAAAGAAAGAACCTCAAAAACCCAACCCAACCAGTCAAAGCAGTATCCTGAGTCATCAAGTCATCAATAACTGTCAGCAAACAACATTCCAGTGAGACACTGAAGACAGCAAAACTTCATGCTACCACAGGCTTCAAATCTTAAAGATAAGCTCGTTGTAAATACTCTGCCACATTTTATAGTTGGAGGAGGCCCAGGGAGGTTGGTTTGCTCTCAAATTCTTCACAATCCAATAAAGATATAATGCTGGCAAAATTCAGGCCTGCTGAATGGTAGCCAATGTGAAAAGAGAGAGAGAAATAAGTTACAAACAAAGCAAGAACAGTCTGAATGCTGTGCAAATGACACTCAATCCAGAGAGACTGTTTCTGAGCATATGTTCCACTAGAGAAGAAAAAGACCTTGAAAGTGATAAGTTTTAAGCTGCTGCCATGCGATTCTACCTGTTTCAGTCAGTTTTCAAAAGCAAAGAGGAACACAGATTCCCATTTTAACAGTAAAGCACCTGAAATGATGTTTCATGCAAAGTAAGTTTTTCAAGTAAGTTTTTCCACCCTTGATTTATGTAGCCTCACTTATTTTTGTAAGTAGTATTAATTTGGGTCATATCTAGTTTCTGATTTGTCCTACTTTATAATTATGATAAATCTGACAGACTGTGGCAAGAACCCTGTGGTATGAAGCTCAAAACAAAAAAGCATACTTACATATTAGGTATACTTTTATTTATTTATTTTTACTCTTCATAGTGCAAAATTTTTGGGGGGTCAGAAGATGCTTACGTCACCCTACAGCAGAGAGAGGTTCACAGAGAGCCACGCAGGGTGTTGTCAATAGCTGTATTATCTATTTATACAGGTCAGCTTTTTGCCACACCCATGGGTAATCCCCATTGCAGCAATACAGCCCATGACATATAGGAAAGTTTATTTTTAAACAGTTCTTTGCGTAGCCCAGCAAGTTGGAAAGGAAGTGAAAGCTTAACTGGCTCAACAACACCCTGCCATACCTTCACTCAGAAGGGAGAGAGCATTGTCAGACCACCACTCTTCACCTCTGCTGCAGATAAACTCCTAGGAAACTGCCCTTTTCCAACATGCTCGAGCAGATAAGGGAACAAACAAATCAATCTCAGTGGCTGCTCCACCAAAGCAAGCAGTTCTCAAAGCTCCTACAGCTGCTCGTTGCCTGCTTGTGGATAATCACCCCCACAGCTCTGTGCTCCCTGGAATGGCAGCCTTCCAGTCACAGCTAGGATCATTTCTGTAGGGCCAGGTTAGGGAGTGATTAGTTTAAATCAGAAAAAAACTGCAGGGGTAGGAATTATAATTTATGTTAGCATCAGCAATGGTATTATGTCCAACACTCTAGAAATCTGGTCAATGGAAAGAAGAGTATGTAGTTAATTTTTAAGATCATCCTACATGATTAAGATCACACAGCAACAGGAACTTGTAGCTGAAGCTGTAAAGGGTTAATGGAAAGAAGAGTATGTAGTTAAACAATTTTTAAGATCATCCTACATGATTAAGATCACACAGCAACAGGAACTTGTAGCTGAAGCTGTAAAACTGTTGCCTGTCTTGAGTGACTGGCTTCTACCTGTATCAATACTAACTTCTCCAGAGTTTCACACCTCACCTAACATTGCATTTCTTGCACAGGGGACCTGCTGTCTCTAATCCCCAGTGGATTCAAACCCAACACTGAGGTCCATCCAGCAGAGGAGCGAGCTGGAGAGTGTTCCTCTAACAGGACTAGGACAAGGGAAGCATCGTGTTAACTTCTGCCTAAAGTCTTGGAGCACAGAGTGGTTATTCAGATCCACAAGAGTAGGTAAGATGATCAGGTGCCAGCAATAAAATAGGTTTTCATCTCCAGGGACAGTGTTTTCAGAGAAGATATCTTTGCCAGTACATGGTAGTGAGGAAGAAAAAAAATAAAGTAGGAATATTTAGTCTCCTTACTACATTAGTCTTTATTTTGTCCTCCCATCTACTTCTTCAGCCCATTAAATTGAGACATAAAAAGATGTTTTGGAGTGAGAAAACTTACATCCTTTTTATCCCCTCACTCATATTGCTTATCTGATCAAATTCAGATGACTCCTCTAAAATAGTCCTATTTCTCAGATGACTTTTTCTTACAGAATAGCTTGCTCCAAACCAATCAAAGCATGCTTCCTTACAATTCTTTCTTCCTTACAATTCTTCTTCCTTACAATTCTTGATCTCTGCAATTTCTCCTCTACATCCCTCCTCAACACAATAATCCTCACATTTATACACTAAAAGAGAGGAAAAAAAAGGGGCCAACAGAATAGTTGCATATCAGCCCCAACGAGGCAACAGACATCCCGTTCAGATTGTCTCCTTCCCCTCACAGGGAGCACAGGTATCCATTTCTCCCCCTTTAGCCAGCAGCACATAGTCAGGAAACTTACAGGAACTATCATATCCAAGACACCTAAACCTCTGTCAAATGTACCCAAAACTGGCCGAACAGGCCAAAAATTAAAAAAACGAACATACGATCAGCGTAATTTTCTTAGAGAATGTGACTAAAAGAGGTCAAAAAGTCACTCTGTCCATTTTGATCCCCCTGGAGTCTTGTAAATGCAACGTCAATGAGAGCAGCCCAGGGAAGGAGAAGCATTACACTGAAGACACATCATTACAGGCACAAATTCAGCTGGCATCTTCTGCAGTGCTGTACATAAAGCTGAATGCAGGCTTTGTGAAAATGCAGTTGTCCTTAACAGGAGGACTCTGATTTGCTGCAGGCGTTTGTTTGAAGAGGACTAGTTAAACATAGCTTTGTATTTGGAGATAGTTGGTACAGCTAGTAGAGTAGATTCTAGTTAATAACTAGAGATAGCGGTGCGTTTCTTCGATTACAAAACAATTTCTTGTATTGTTATTTTTATAGCCTTCATAAAACGATGACATCAAAACTGAATTCCAGTTCTTTTGTTTCCTTTAAGGGAAGATTGCATAAAGATTTGCAAGACTGTCAGATTAACCTCATTACCCATTCACTTTTATGATGAGTAACTTTCTTCCCTGAAGACTCTTTTATGTAATGAGCATCAATTACAACCGGTAGCTCATACATCACAGCATCTGCTTTTACTCTGTTTTTTAACTGAGTTAGAATTTGATACTTTTGAAGGAATAGAAATAATCTAATTGAAATATGTGACCTACCTGCACAATATTAAGAACTACAGTTAGGATACTTCGACCAGGATACTTCCAGAAAGGCAAAATGTCGTTATCATTCTCTTACTGAACAATTAAAGAAAATTTAGTAATGAAGACTCATGTTCTTCTAAATAGATAACTCAATAATTTTTTAATTAAAGAAATGAATACCTGCACTACTCTGTAGTTTACACTTAATGTAGTCTATCAACTCCAGAAACATTAGCTACAACCGTTTATCTCATTCTGAAGTGAAAATTTATAGCCTTTACACTTAATGTAGTCATTTATCTCATTCTGAAGTGAAAATTTATAGCAATTAGTTAACAGTAACCCCATCTTCTAAAGCGAGTTTGAATATTACCCAAAGTTTCTTAATTCCCACCAAGTGATTCACAACTCTGTTGCCTTGCATGACCTACAAATTACAAGTTCAGCTTTCTGAGATAAAGTGCAGGACCAAGAATTTTAAGAAGCATCAGCACATATTTCGTGTCCCCAGGGACCATCAAGCAATATGATCTTATCTGTTATTAAAAGACCATGGTTTCATCCACTGACTTATTGAGCCCAGTAGTGTCAGTTTGGTTTACAACAGCAAAATTATGCTCGAGAATGCATTGTTTGAAAATGATCACCACAGACTGGTGTACTAGATGCAAAATATCTGGAAGTCACCTCAGGAATGACTCAGATATTCCTGCAGCAAAAATGTTCCTGAAAAAAGAGGGAGGCAACTCCAGGCCTAATCCTCCCAACAGCTGCTTCCAATTACAATATTCAAACTAGATCAGCAGAAACACCCTATGACCCAGAAATAGATAGAATACATGAGGACATAGGATGGGATACATGATGCCAGCTGTTTTAAGAACTGGAGAGTAAGGAAGTTTTTTCAGTTAGATCAGCATTATTGTAGTAAGCGTCATTCCATGTCTCAAGTTTGACTCGTGTTTTTATTACAGTTTAAACATGCAACATCTGCCAAGCTCTGCACAAAATAACATCAGCGTTTTATTAAGGTAGAACAAATATTTCAAATATTAAATAATCGCTCTAAATTCTGAGTAGTAGCCTAAAGATGAAACCAATCCCAAATATCAAACCTATCTTAGAAATTACTAGTCTCATTGGACAATGAAGCAGGCTGCCTGAACCTCAACCTCAGAACAAGTCAGAAATGCTTTCACAATAAATCCTTCCCTTTCTCCTGAAAATAATCCTTTGACATAAACCTGTTTAACTAGGAATTAGGATTCATAGCTTCCCATGACTTTAACATGCAGTTAAGCCACATTCAAGGTTTGGTAAGGGTGCTTCTTTCCAAAGCTTTCTAGTGCGCACCATAAAAGGCGCTTGTCTCTCCCACACCCACAAAACAAATTTACTAAGGTGACTACACATCTACTAAGAAAAGTAAAGAGTAGAAAACTGACTTAAGTTCTATCTCACAGCAGCACCAAATCTCCTCAAGCAAAAAGCCTGTATTTCCCAGCTCTTTGAGACACATACTTCAAACTGTAACCATATCCTGGTGTTGAAACTGGAAAAGTCAACTGGTGAACCCTTCACCAAGTAACTGAGGCCCCCTCCATCCTATAAATGACATCATGCCACTATAAAGCACAGTGGTCCCCACACACCTGCAGTCTGTGCTCTTAAGACATCATTGCACAAATTGAGATCTGTCCAAATAAACCACCAGCGAACAGTAAACAAGTTCACGGCCTTCCAGCAGTCCCCCAGAAGCTCCGTAGGACCTTAGTGCCAGCTTCTGAAGTGAGAATAGATACGTATTACATATGGTTTAAGTCACTGTTTCAGCACTTTGGTACCAAAAAAAAAAACCTCTTTGGCATCCTGCAGGAGGATTTCTGGGGAGGCATTTCCATACAGAAATTTCTTGACACTCATATGGAGCAGCACAAGAAAACCCTGACAAACCCTTAACAGCAGAAATAGTCTGGAGCAAAATCAAGGTCTTAAGATTTTAAACCTTTCAGTGTGCTAAAACCAAATGAAGCAGCTTCATTATTGTCCACGTAAAGAGCCAACAGAACACCCAGCACTGGAGCCCACCCGTGTGTGTCTGTAAGGCTGATCTAAACTGAACCTGCCACACTCTGACCGACCGTATCCTTCCTCCCAATAGCACCAGTGTTTGCAACAAGTAGGTGGCAAAAGCAGTTCAGAAATCACTCCAGACAAAAATTAACCTATAGAGGTTTTCAGGCAGTTTAACTACCTAAACAAGCTTGCTGGCACAGAAGACAGACCAGAAAGGCACAGAGCTGAGCATGGGAAAAGCTGAACTGCAGCACCCCCAGCCTATAAATACTGTGGAAAAGTAACCTAAGCGTATATGGTTCCTCAACTGCAATTTAGTTGAGGATTTATCATTTTTTTAAGTTGTATGATGTCTATTGTGGAACATTTGGAAGAATTCTAGATATTTGCAACAGCCTATCTGGATTGATCCAGAGATCAGTGTGAAAAGAAGCAAACAGTCACAGCATCATGGCTAACACCACAGTTCTCACAGTTCAATTGACTACAGTTACATTATGAAGTAATTTTGATAATATAGACATTTACACGAGAGTCTAGAACACTGTTTCTGCTTCCTCAAGATCATTGCCCTATCTCAGTCTATTCCAACCACTGAGGGAACTTCCCTTTCTGAGCTTGACAGTGTTGAAGTGTTGCTTTAACACGAAGTGTAAGAGTCACGTCTTAGATTAAATTTCTAAACATGAAGGTCTGTAATCTAGAATATTAACACAAGGCATTAATTTTGTATTGATTTAACATTATATACCCCGAGGAAAGAATTAACAGTAACAGCAGCCATGGTAGAAGAATGAACAATTACATGTCATGAGCCCGTCAAAGCTATCCATGCTAGAGACTCGCATGGATTCAGAGGCAAGACAGTCAAAAGAGGTACTATAGTGCTGCAGTCGATTTTCTAACAAAAGCAAAACTAAGAAGGGATGAAAGGCTGAAAGAGAGGAGGAGGACACCTGCAGAAGAGGCTCCCATTCCAAATACTCATGATCAAGTCTCCTGACAAAAGTCAAATAAGGGGAGACCGCGCTCTCACCAACTCCCTGAAAGGAGGGTGTTCTGCAGAAGAGGCTCCCATCCCAAATACTCATGATCAAGTCTCCTGACAGAAGTCAAATAAGGGGAGACCTTCTGGCTCTCTCCAACTCCCTGAAAGGAGGGTGTAGCCAGGGGGGGGCGGTCTCTGCTCCCAAGTCCCAGGCGATGGGACAAGAGGAAATGGCCTCCAGTTGCACCAGGGGAGGTTCAGATTGGAGATGAGGAAACTATTTTACACAGAAAGGGTTCTTAAGCCTTGGACTGGGCTGCCCAGGGAAGGGGTTGAGGCCCCATCCCTGGAGGGATTTAAAAGCCGGGTTGCCATAGTGCTTAGAGACATGGGTTAGTGATGGGTTTTATCAGAGTGAGGTTGATGGTTGGACTAGATGATCTGAAATGTCCCTTCCAACCTAGACAATTCTATGATTCTATGAAATAACATTCACAGGAGATGATATGTAAATCTGCTGTTACTACTGAATTTTATTCAGCATTTGATATAAAAGACATTTTCCCCATTTCATAATATGCAAGAGGCAAGGTATAGCCTTACAAGAATGAATTTTAGTAACACAGGATACACAATGTGGGGTCTTAAGTTAGTGCTGTTCAATTAAGGACTGAGGGAAGAACTTCAAGGGCACTTTTAAGCTAGTGTCACCAAAGACATACTAGCTACAGTCATTTTCACCCTGTATTTCAAGTGTAAGAAAGCGCATTTGGAAGCTAACTTTTGACTGATAAGTCAGGCATCACTCCCACTTGCACAGAGCTGCCGCTTCCAGCTATTCTGGAAAGCAACAAAAATGGAGTTCCCTTGAAGGCACTATGCCAGAGCTTGCAGCATGAACCTCAGCAGTTCACTTTTAAGAGCAGTTCAAGAGCTCTGCATTCAAAAAGTCGCTCTCAGCATATCGAGTATCATAAAACCAGCTTTTTTTTTTTTGTCGACCATACTTGAAAAAAAATCTCAGCCACATCACTGCGTCCTTTTTGCCCCTGTACGCTTACACTTCAACATTCACTAAAGAAATTTAAGGAAAATTTAAACATAAGCATTTTGACTTGGCTTGATGGAGTAAATTCCCTAAACAAAGTCTGAAGAAGGCTTCCAAAAGACATACTTAAAAAAAAATATAGGTTTGCCAGACCAAGTCCATAAATCAGGTTCTCCTCTAACACAACTATCTCATTAATCGTTAACAACCCTATATTCTTCCTTTAGTTACAAGTTCAGAATGTCAGACGTGCATTTTCTAGAAAAAACAAATACCCATATGGCCATTTTTACAGCCAGAAAGGATGACTTGAGATCCATAAATCCTAAACCCAGAACTCCACCCAAATAGAGTTTCACTGCTCTCTAGGCAGGGAAGTTAACTTGTGACAGAGAAATCTATCCACAAATGGGACCTGCAAAGCAAACCCAAGCACCCACTATGGTCACAGCAGGCTGCATTCAGCACTTAGGGATTCTTACAGGAGGGACTTCATCCGTGTGTTCTGGCTGGTAGAAGCAGCCTTGTTGTGTGGGAGGCATCTCACTTCACAGCCAGACAAGTTCTCATCTTGATAGCTCAGGGGGTTTATCCTGCTCAAAACTAAGTTGTTTTGCCTCATTAGCCAATCATATAGTATTATAGCGAAAACTCACATGAACACCCTTGAATTCTTTCAAGGTATTAGCATAGACAGAATGAACACAGAAGCCTTGTTTGAATAACACTCCTATGAAATTCTTGACATAGAAAAAGTTTAAGCTTTCAAATAAAGCGTTTTTTGAGGCAGGCGCTGCCTTCTTCCAGGTGGTCAGTGCCTAGCTGGGTGAAGTTTCAACAAAAGCAGAATAGGAATACCAAAATACACTGTCCTTCACATTTTATTAGTTGGCTTCTGCAATGAAGGATATAGGGAATGAGTGCTTCAGCATGTGCAAGCACATTTATATCAAAGGCCTCAGCACAAACGGTACAAACACACAGGAACAAACACAGGTCACTAGCAAGAGAGGTCAAGCAGCAGGTACCACCAAATTCTCCATCTCCTCTTCACAAATACAGGCAAGTGTTCTCTTTCCCCACAGGCAGACTGCATCAATACACCAGCCAAATGGAACCTAATAAAATAGGAGCACGTTGGATTTTGCAGTTCAAAAAATTCCTTTTATTCCTCTAAGGAATCATCCAGCTGTAGCAAATAAATTTCATTAGTGAAATCTGACTTGGCAAAGTAAGTTACTTCATTCATTTTATGATTCTGCCATCTGTTTTACCACCCAATTACAAATGTGTAAGTACTCTTTTGTAGTATTATTGTAAGAGTGTTACTTCTGTAGCCATGTTTTGTTCAAATAACTTCTCCTCCTGTTTACACTCTACGCAATGCAAATTGCTCCTTCTAAAATCCTAATCATTTTTCTGTTTTATTCAGGGGAAGAGGATTTCATATGCATGGCTCACTGAATGAGACTGGCTTGCAAATAGGCAGACTTGTGATTAACCTTTTGAGTAGGTGATTCAAGGACACAAGTGGCTGCATGGTAATACAGCATTCATGAAGCTGAAACACTGTTTAGTCTGATCCCTTCCCATTTTCAGATGCTGTTTATTCTAAAACTATTAGATGCCCGATTTGAAAAATAGGTTGAGTCAATCTAGTAGACCTAGAAGGCCCATTTGGGCAATAATTGTCTTTTAGTTCTATGTGTTTGCCAATCATATGATACATGGTAGAGTTTCATGACTATTTCATGTATTATGGGAATAAAACATGCAGTGGCCAGAAACAGATGGCATTCAGTTCATGAACCTAGTATGAAATTATTAATATTCAGGTAATTTATCAATCTCCACATTAAGCGCCAGTGCAAGGTGGCTTTGACCTTGCCTTGCTTAAAATACTGATCAGAACCTTTCTTGCAGCATCACAGAAGACATTTCCAAGTTAAATGTTCTCAAACTGTAAACTAGTAACTTTTTAAAATTGCTTTTTTGTTCCTATTTGAATTCTTATAGCTCTTATCATGCACACGATAATGCAGAATGTTGCAGAACTGTTAAATGACTTACAAGAGTGTAAGTGTCTAAGTTTTAAAGAACATTTTTTTAGATACTTTGTTCTGTTATACAGCAATGTACGTGAAAAATCATAGATCAATTTCTGAACACAGGAACAAGCATAACATTCATTTTAGACTATCTGGGTAATCAAGTGAAGCAGCTATCAAAAACTGCTGATAAATAACCTAAAAAATAATTTCATAATTACACTCTAAAGGCAAAGAGTCTTGGAAAAGGCACTGTTAAGGATGGAATACTATTGCATGACACTAGATGGGTCTTGAGCATGTCTGTCTTCCTATAGCCAGACACACAACACAAAAACTAAAGTCATTCCAGTGGTGGTCACAGACCAAATTTGGTTTATTTTAAAGGTCAGTGTCCCCAGGGAAGAACTACCATAGAAGTCTGTCTATAAGGAAGTCTGATATCTTTATCAACATTTAATTGATTCCGTTCTAACGATGTTGCAACACCAAACACTACCAAGTGTGAGCTGTATTGCTTTTTGTACATGTGAACTTTTAAATTCCAGTGAGAAGTACCTGACCTAATACCTTTTCATGTTGCATGTTGTAATACAGGATTTTCTCTGGCCTAACAAAACCTTCACTAGTACTGACTTACAAAAACATTTCATTTCCAGCTGATCACTTGCATACTTTCAATTTATCTGTAGTACTTCTAATAGCATCAGTTCTCCACAGAGTCAGAAGATAATTTTACAGCTTTTTTTCTTGAGAGGTTTATTTCCTTTACCTTACCCCACACACAGTCCAAGTCATGCATAATGTCTGGAAAAGTTTGTGTTGTTAAACCCCATTCCTGTCATTCACAGATAATGGTCAGCATGAAAGCATGATCAAGTCTACTGAGGAACAGAAATTACATTGCTGTAAACCTCTCCTTCAAACTACTGACGATCTAAGAATAACTATGCCATCCTGACTGGGTTAGTTATCACCATTTCAGTATTTTATCATATTGTATTTCTTTTTTTTTTTTTTAAGATAATCTAGTATTTGGCTACAAGATTGTTTCTGCTTCAGTTTCTCCTCCTAGAATTGCTTCTCCATATCTGTAAACAAGTCTTACCTCCTACCTATTAGAAAATTTACAATATAAAGCCTTGCTCTGTGCACAATGAATGGTTTTCTTCAATTTTTCCAAACTACACTTAAAATCACTTTGCAATGCTCTTCAGAATACTACAGTCTGAAGAAACTCACTTAAACTAGGCATGTTATACATAGAGGCTCAGTTCTAAGTCATACATCTTGCAGTGGAATGCATTTGTTAGATTACTTCATTCTTGCATTTGTTTTGACTGCAAGAGCTATAAAGCTCAATTTTCGCAAGACAGAAAATGCAACAGATATAGGTTAACATTCATTTAATTTTAAGAAAAACAGATGCTCCTCTACTAGAAAAGTTCAACACGTTCCAAACCAAGTTACCTAAAACGATCAACTTTGCCAATAAGATCCAATAAATAAATAAAAAAAACCAGACAGGACGGTAAAGAAGTTTCTCAAAATAAAAATCAGGACCTAAGGTTTTTGAATGATTCCAAAACTAAACATTCTTGGGCAAAGAGTCGAGAAACACTAGCATTTTGGTGAGCAGCTGCCCTATAAAAACTTACTTTTAAGTGTAATTAACTGTAAGCCCACCAGTAAAACTAATAGCTACAAGTCCAAAGTTACTGACTGACAGGGAGCCAGTTGCTTGGGAATACAGATACAGGCTTTCCCAAAATATTTTGTGGATCAGCCACTGACCTCTTGAAGAACCCCATTAATCTACAAATTGATGGTCTCCCTAGCTCTGAACACAGGAAATACTAGTTGGCAGTGCCTGCAGTGGGATTCCTTAACACAGCACAGAGACATTAGATGTGCAATGTATGTTAGTTAAAAGGGAGTATTTTTCCCTCACAGCAGTAGCAGAAGGGTAAAATGTTGAGATCATGACTTAAGAGGCAAATTATTACCAAAATGCAATGCAAGAAAGAGGACTGAGACACAGCTTGGATTTAGCATTTAACTCTTTCAAGTCCAAAAGGCAGCTACAGCTCCTGCTCCACTGTTGTTACACAACCACACCTGAGACAAGTTCTTCCCAGAAAGAAGGATGCACTTAGAAATATTAAAACGGGTGAAATAAACTAAGTGGTTTTTCCAAAAAAAAAAAAAAACACCTCTGTTTTTTTAATTAATTGTTCTAAAAACAGTCCTTTATGTCACACTATATGCTAAACCAAAATGACTACTGACGCACACCAAATTAATAATTCAGACTAGCAACTTAGTGTTCTTTATCAGTCTTCATTAAACAGGGAAAAACAATCAAGTACCAGCATTTTCTGCCTCTCAAGTTGCACTGGGTATCTTCCTATGGGAGCACTCCAACATGATGCAGAACACACTCAATTTCATTACCAAAGCTACATGTAGCCATCCTTTCTTCCTTGCAACACTAGCCATTTAATAACATTTTAGAGGGTGAACTTGCTTAACAGAAAGCAGTTTCTGATACTTAGCCTAATTCATTTGCTCTTTATATGCTGAATGACAACAGAGGGCTTTTTAGAGGAGTCCAGAGTGCAATGTATTCTTTCTAGGTTAAGTTTTCCTGATTTATTACACACTTTACTCCCAATGCATATGAATGAACTGGAATCTCAAAGACATCATGTCTGATCAGAAGCAGACAAAAAATACACAAGCTGGAACATGAAGTAAAGATGCTTTATTAAATTGTACCTACTCAGACCAGTGCTGTATCACTGACTTCACAATGCAAACTATACCAATGAAAATCAATTTTCATATGTGTTTTCAAATCAGTGACAATTTCAAAAATGTAAACAGAGAATTCAAGTTTCTATAAGGTGTATGGAGCTATCAGCCATAACCATACCGGACCAGTCACTGAAGAATTGCAATGAACTCTTTATTTGGATATTATTAAATATAAATTTTGACCTTACAGAAACCAGTTGTTAAGAGTGCGTCATGTGAAGTGTTATCTCTTAAAATACCAGAGTTCTGAGGACTGGAATGAAGCTTTATTTGCATGTTAGACCACAAATGTGGAATTAATTTAGGTGGTTAAGTGTGTAAAAACTTTATAATTTAGGGGTACCATACCAAAATAGCTCTTCCACACAATAACCACTTTAATTCAGTATCTGCTTTTGCTTACTTTGACCTCCATGGGTAACAGTGACAGCTGATTAAGGATGAGCTTCTACAAGCCTTGCTTTGAGTAGGGCATCCAGTCCGTCTACTCAAACATCTTCTGTGGGGTGACCTCACCAGCCAAGGGTGGGTTTTGTGACTGCCACAGCATGGCCCGCAGAAGTCTGTCACATTAATGTTGCTTTCTTTTGAAACTGCATGGTCTGAAATAAATCCTAGGAGGAAAGTATTTAATTCCAGCAATGCTTTCCATACTAAAAGCCCTTCCAGGAAAGAACGCTGCTATACCAACAGGACTTTGCCAGTACAGCCTTGAAGTGACAGATTAGTTTCACTCTGTGCTGTCTGATGGGCTTGAATGGGAGTAAAAGCAAAGAGAAGGACTACACCACAAGTGGCTGGCTTTTTACGTTCTTCACTGAAGTTTCACCCCTGGAAGACTTCCATGTTCAGCACACTCTGTTTAAAGTTGACACAAACATTTCTGCCTGCCTCGGAGACAAGGATCGGAGTTAAAGATCAAGTCTAACAGTGGCACAGAAGGGTATTAAGTTAGGATTTCGAGGGTAAAATGAAACAGGTACCAAGGCCCAAACGCATGGCTGATCCCTGCTACCTACCCACTAAGTACAGGTGCCAAGCTCCTTTGTAAAATCACATTTTCCATAATCTGCAGAAATACTTGTTTGGTGATATAGTGTATTTACATGCCATTTTCAAATGAAACCTTGTGGGCCACTGCACCAGACATTCCCACACTCTCACACCAAATGATGGAGTAAACTTACTGTTATAGAGAAAAATACGACACACTAAATGAACTCTACTGGCAGGAATCCAATGTCTATCGTAATTGCTTGAACTAAGGAGCCAATATCACAAAATAAGCATCATCAATTCCACTAAAGTAAGGACTGCTGAGTTACTATGCAACCAACTCTCTTTATATCTCTTGTTTGTGCTACCTTCTTTGCATTCTTGGCTCCTCTCCATATTAGCATTATAAACTGATTACAGCATAGCTTATTTTGAATTCTCTATAGTAATTGTCTTTTTCGTTACACCTCTTT